CACTGTAACAGAAGAGGCCACGCAACGGCACAATGGTATGAGCGGCGCTGGGACTAAGCCCAGGAGGGGGCAGTAATATCAAGGAAATAAAAAAATTGCTTGCAATTTGAAGCCTCTTCTTCTCCACCTTGGCTGAGCCCCTTTTTCGACGGAAAGGTGATGCTACGCGGTTTGAATGCAGTACCACAACAATGCCCCCTTTCTTGTAATAGCGCGTAAAAGCTTCCAAGGGGTAAACAAGGGAGGATCAGGAACTAACAATCTCATAATTTCTTCTAGATTCGACTCATGTCCTCATTTTTTGGCAGAACCGGATTATCTCCTCACTTTCGGCTCATGGAAAGGGGAGAAAGATGAGAAAAAATGAAAACTGTTTGAAAAATTTCCCCTCCCCTGTAAGCCCTGTCCCATCGAATCTCATAACAATTTGCGAACGGTTACCAACTTTCACGGCATGCCCCTTCTCCCCCACCCCTTCCCGGCCATCAGACTAGCCTAAGCGAGACCAATGAATGAAAAATATGTTAAAAATCTTTGAAGATGAAAACTGAAATAAGTGAAAAAAAGGATTTCCGAAAAGCCACGGTGACGATCGAAGCGTTGCTGGGTGGAAACTTAATCAATAATGCGATTATTGCCCTTGACCCACACAACTTTCATTCTCTTCCTTTTGATAATTTTTGGATATATTATAATTTACTGGTTTCCAGAAAATGGTCCAGCTCATTGTAAAAAGCAAAGCACGAAAACATTTACCATTCAGCAACCTCTTCAGGATGCGCCGCGCAATTTACTGCGGATCCTTTCGGAATCACGCGAACATTTCATTGAGACGCAGCTTCAAACGATGTACAAAAAAATGCTATTTTTTATCCTTTGATACAAGTCAGCTACCAAGTAGATTCGGCTTGTTTGGACTAGGCGTCGGGATGTTAAAAATAGGGATTTCCTAAACCGTACCGTCTGCAGGACTTAGAAATCTAATACTGGGTTGTCTCATAATTTCTGGTCGAATTTCAACACTTTGATTTCTCGGAATTTAACTTTCTTTCAAAACGATTGGTCAAAAAAGTAACCACCATCCATATAATCACTGATAAGCATCCACTTGCTAGGGAGCGAATGGATGCATTCCTCCCAGAATGAATGGAGCTGTGGAATGAAAAGTTCGGAGAGGTCGTTTTTGGGGTGGTTGCATTTACTGACTGTTTTCTCTTCCAAGCTGCTGCTTCATCAGGGAGCTGAGGAGGTGATAGTTACGAAGGGGCAGGTGTGTCAAGAGCTAAAGCGACCGATGTGGTGTCCGTAAGGTCGCAGTCCAGTTACCTTCGGAACGTGGCGAGTTATCTTTGCAATGTGATATCAGGTGGTCCTTCGGAGAAAAAGGATTCTGAAACGTTTCGAACCATTTCACCGCATTGTTGCAGCCAGCTCCGGAAGCTATTCCATGGTTACCTTTGCGAATGCTTGTGTGCATCAGTGAAATGGTTCTCAAAACGGGATACCCAGCGAATCCAACACAAATGGAGGGGGTCATGAGATGATTGAGGCTCAGCCTTGGTCGAGATTGTGCTCCAGGCTGACGGGTAGGCCATCATTCGTACGGCGGATGTTGTTCATCACGGTCCACGCGTGTCTCATATGGCTCCGAAGAATGGAACTTCTCCCAGATGGTCCAGGCGGCTTTTCGGTCATGCTCAGTAGATGCATGCTGTTTCTACGAGGTCTATTCCGCTCCAGCCTCTTCCGTTCACGTGTCGACTCATGCAACTTAGGCTCTGTTCAGACGTTTGCGACAGTTTGCCTGCTAATACGTCCGCGTGCACATTCCATTTGTTGCGCGCAAGAGGTCCTCATCCAAAGTGACTGGAGGTCCATGATGAGGTCGAACTTTGCAGCTCCTATCGTTATTCTTATTTGCCGATGCTATTGAGCCAATAGCTCAGTGCCGATCAGTAGCAAAGACTGGGCAAACGTAGCGCTGATCTTGCCTACCGCGCTCCTTGCAAGGTTCTTCTTAAAATTGTCGTAAGGCATAATCGTTGGGTTTGGTCGTTGATCTATTTTGATTCCTACTTAATTATCCCGTTGCGCATTTGAGCTTCTGAAACATCCTGGCTGAAGGTCCTGATGTGTTCTTCAACTTATTTCGATATGAAGTTAATTTGACATGAAGGAAATTGAATTTCAAGCCAAAGTCGACCAGGCGTTATGGGACAACCCAATAATTGGTTACCTAATAGTACTTCTAACGAAATCCCTACTTCGGTATTGTGTCATGCTCACAATGTTGCCTTTTTGAGAGATCGATCCGAAGCTGTTGCCGACTCAGATACTTCAAATGATGGAAGCGGAAAAGATGGGTGAGGAAGCTAATCACACTGACCTCTGGATACCCGACAGAAGGCTCGTCGCGCGGCGAGAAGGCAGAGACGCAGATGGGTCGGCGGACGAGTCGCAGCACTGTGGCGATTTGGCGTCAAGTTGAACAGAATGTGCTATATTATGTCTCACACCACACTACACAATGCGACTCTTCCACCGATCCGTCTGCGTCTTTCCCATTTCGCTGCGTGATGGACCACCTCTCATGTACCCCTGACCCTTCATGGTGGCAGTTCGATTAACTGATTTTCAGCTAAAGCAAATAAAGGTTACGACAACGTTGATATCGATATGGATGATATTATCGACGACAAATCAAAGTCAAAACAACCATGACGTCATGTTGTTAATCAATACAAGATGCATACATGCAATTATCGCTTAAACTTCTCGAATATAAAGCTTTTAGTATTGTTCCATTTAAACGAACTCACCTGTAATTGCCTCATTCACTTGGCGTCTCATTTTTGTGATATTCCCGGATTTGTAGCCCCACTAATCAGCAGTTTCACTCGCTATGAATTGATGCCTATGTCATATAGATAAATTTTTCTTTGTAGCACTTTTTATTAGAAAACCCACTAACTTCTTATTCGATGAGCTAAAACGAATCAGATAAAAAACGAATGAACTTTCACTGAATTTGTTCCCAGCAAGACGACCGCATTTGATAAGTATACTATAGAATTACTTCTACACTCTCGCTATAATAAATTTCTGAACTAGATAAACGAAACAGAAACTTACGGATTCCACCTACCGTGAAAACTACCCTACCGCAGACAAACGGGAACAGTTGACCTTTTTAACGTGATAAAGGAAAGGCGCGTGGTAGTGAGAAAGACAGTTTCGTAGCATGTTAGTAGTACGTTCTTGGGTACCCGACAGGAGACCCGTCGCGCAGCAAGGAGGCAGAGGCAGCGGAAGAGTCACAACGCGTACTGTTATTTCGCGTAAAACTACACTAGCAGTGTATCCACTGTACGACTGCTATCGCACAGACGCGCTGCGACTTCGGCCCCCTAACTCGGCTTTCGTAGCAGCCCTCCTCGAACAGGTAAGCCTCTTCCCTAATATTTCAAGCTATAGTAGCGCATATCACTAACAACCCAGGGCACTCCCATGGACGCCTGTTCCCCGTTTGTCTCATGTTTTGAACATGTATTATAGCAGCGGGTGACAAGTATAGGTTTGAGCTTGGAAAGAAAAGCACATGCTCTACGTATCACTAAGCAAGCTTTTTGCGCCCAATGTCTTGACGACATCATGTAGTCAACCAATCAGTGTGCTTGGGTAGGGTGGGGAAGGGATCATTAGAGAGATTACGAAGTCCGATGAGTGACCGCAAAAAATTAGCCGTTACGCAGCCGTTCACGCGACCTCCATGGCTTGCAAATTTGCGTGTCGACGCGCGCAAACCAAAATTGGCACTTATCTAATTCCCTCATCGTGGCTTCCCAAGGGCAGTTTTTTGCTTCAGCGACACTTCATATGTTCTCGACTAGGGCTCACGCACTTGTTCATTTCATTAGTGGCAACAGTATGGATCCATCTGAGCTTGTTGCTTCAGTAACTATAACTCTATATGCTTTCGAGATCTCCGTGGCATGAGAAAGAAACTTTTGTTTTTATTGATTTCGGTTTTTTCTATTTTTTCATCTCTACTGATCCACTTCCACCCCAAATTCTATATTTTGACACAAATGGCCACACCGATTTCATAGTGAGATGTGCTTTTACGACGAGCATCGTAGTGATGACATCACACATGAATCCTTCGAAAGACAGTATCTAGGACGAATGTTTATTTCATGATGTAAAAGACATGGAACTTACATATACCCGTAATAAGATGCTACTCGTATGTGATTTAAATCTACAAACTCAAAAAATTCGTTCGAATGCATGAACAATTTGATCAGAAGACCTCTCAGACTAAACGCTCAGACGGAAGAGACATAATTTCCTAAAAATCGATAAGCATATGGATGCACACAGAAACGGTTGGCAGTTACGTGCGAAGTGAGCTATAAAATAGGAGGCAGGATATTCTACAGAAAGTCACAGGAGGGAAATCTGCACACGATTGGATATCAGAAATAGACTTTACTGCAAGCTATGAAGTTATGGAAGATTCCTTTCCTCTCCACACTTGTTTTGGATGAGAAAAGGGAACAGCTTCCAGTTTACTCACGGTTGCGGTTAGCTGAGAGATCAATTCACGCAAAGCGCGCAGCGCGCAGCCATTTTTGCCGCGCCTGCCGCGCGCGGCGAGGATGAGTCCCCGCGCGGCTGCGAGGGGATGCCGCTCTACGCTCCTTGACCTATACCTTCGATCTTTACCTATCCAAGGCAAACGTGCCGTCCAAACCATATGATAGGAAAAAACATAAAAATAGCTTAATCGGTACAAAAGCTCGCTGCATCCGTCAATCATGGACTCTAGAACTCTAACAAAGCCTCAGCAAACCGCACTTGCATTTTTTCTGTTGAGCATTGTACATCTAGGCATGAAAAGACTACCAATGTGCCTAAGTGGTTACAACAGTGGGATAAACTAACAGCAGATCAGATCAGAGCTACTGAAGCCTTAGACAGATTCAAAACCTCACGTCCTTATGGTAAGGACTTGACTGAAAGAAAATGTCGGAAGCGATCGAGGAGCACCGAGTTTTTGACGACGGCCGTATCGGTAGACAGTTTCCACTGAGACGACTCTCAAGGCTCAGCATTGTCGTCATGCTCTCATCGTCTCGATAGATGTCAACCACGCTACCTTCGGCATGACGACGTGCCGAGAAGATCGTGTCGAAGTGATAAATGTTTTTTGACTCCAGAATCCATAACACACCACCGACGAGGAGACATAGAATTGCTGAAAAGATGCTTATAAAATTCGCTATATTTTTCGAAACCTGGACTGAGATATGAATTTATGGTTTATTTGTCAGAAGTAGGCTCGCGCAATCGCCACATATCATTTCTTCGTGTTTGTTTATCTATCTTTTTATATATGCACTCTTGCACCAAGCTGCACCAAGGAAACAGCATAAAAGAAAGAATGAATGAATAGATACACAGGTAAATATAAAATTTGTTTAGAAGTAGCTCTCGAATTACAAAAGAATTCAGAAGCAAACACATCAGTTAAACATATACTCAATTAACTGCGATGTAAGCGCCACTGAGCCAGCGTATGGTTTTTTTGTATAGGACAAATAAGGTGCCAATAAAGGATCTGGCTGGGTGACTCCTCCGGTGGATGGCCTGCGAGGCAAGCATACATCTCCCTCCATTTTCGACAATATTAGGTGGATAGACCCAGAGTTGGCCCGCAGTTTTTGGGTTTTTTTGAAGGGAGTGTCTACATCGCGTTCCAGGATGGCCAAGTGTGCGCTTCACCGGCTTGTTTGTTGTGTACCGAATGTAATGCGAAGTATGTCCAGCGATCGCCGTGTGTCTGAACGCACGTGTCAGTCAACGCTTGGAGAGTTGAGGAAATTGAGCTGCACAGACATTGCACTTGAGATTTTGCGGTTTCTCTGTTCCCAGGCGGTTGATGTTCGGCAAGCGCCCATTGAGAGCTCGTTGTGCGTGAGTTATCATGAGGTACACGTCTTTCCTTGTCTGCCCAGCTTTCAAATGCGTCGCAGGCAGCATGAGCCAAATATGCTAGCTCGCGCCTTCTTGTCCAAAATGAGCTGAGTCGCCTTTTTGATGGTTTCCTTTGCCGCCCTTGCGCATCATGATCTCTGCGGGTGCTTTGGGGCCGTCGCATGGAGATCCCGTCAACTGAGGTTAACACAGTAAGTCAGTGTCTGGTAAGTGCGGTAATGTATCCGTCCTTTCACTGCGCATGACCGCTCTCTTGATCTGTTTGATTGTGAGGACAATGGCTCTGTCGACGTCGTCCAGCTCCTTCACCATCTTCTGTGAGTCCATTTGGCTCTGGATGATAATGGTGATATTGCAGTGATGTGCACGTTGAACAACTGCTGACGTTGATGTCTCAATCGTCCTAGACCATTTGTGGTACCGCGTAGTTGAGTGTAGTGGTGAAAGCCTGGAAGAGATCGTGTCAGCCTGCCTGACTCCTTTTTTTCAATCAGCACGCGTAGCTCTATTGGAACATGTGGATGGAGGTGATGTATCTGGATGTAGTGTTCTCAGCAGGTCGATGTGGCACGGGTCACGCCTGCATGGTGCTTCAAGACAAACTTCAGCTCTAAACTGTCGAATGCCTTGCCAATAGTGCGATACAAGCAAACGAAGGAGGGATGGCTTGTATTCATTGGTCCGCTCGATCAGCTGCGTGACGAAGGTCCACACAGAAGAAGCCCCTTGCGGAGCCCGGTCTTTCCACTGTCCGGTAGTCGTCCAATTCCCTATTATGTTCGTTAAGAACGGCCTTCGTGAACAGCTTATACGGGTTTGAGAGAAGCACGATGGGTGGTAAGTTATTGTGTCTGCGGACTGCCCATTGCGCCCCTCGTGATGACCGAGCGAGTCATTAAGTACCAGCGCATCGTTGACAAGCTCGCTCTCGCTTCTGCCACTTCCTTCAATCGAGTGTCTTTGTACCACCAAATCGACTCCTTCACAGCGACGCGGAACGCTTCGTTGATCGTAGCACGTTCCAATGGTGAGGATGGAGAGTTACGGAGACGGCGTACACAGCCTGTTGTTGGAAGGTGTGCGCGAGCTTATTCATCGATCTTACTCTTCAAGTTCATCAATCTATAATCCTTACACTTTCTTGCTGTATGGTAAGTGCGCGTTGGGTCTCCTTATCGTTTCATTGCTTTTTCTACCTACTACTGCTCAATTTAGTGTACAAGTGCACTGATTTAGATGTGTAACATTATTTCTAGGAATTGGGATATGTGCTCACGAAAAGAAATAGGAAGTACTCACCGGCCAAGCACGTAGCATGGAAACAAATTGACATGCGAAACTTCAACAGTGTGTCGCTATGTTGTGCCGGAAAACGAATGTACATCTGGCGTGGTATATTCAACACAAAGATCATATCACCTTAATCAAGAGATCTATATGCATCTTTGAATGGACTCTATATTATTCACGACATAGCTGGTTGGGTGAGTTATTCCAATGTGGTAATTGCAAAGCGGTGAACACAGACCACTCCTGTGCCTTCGCCCTCTACTGGTTGTGCTTTCGCCTGTGCTCTCTCCAGCATGCTCAGTATCTAAATGCGCTAGCACAGCCGAGTGACAAGACAGGATACACTAATTTAATTTTAGCCCTTCCTAGACCTTCCCCTTCCTCTTTTTTTCATTACCTTCTCACTTTCCATGCCCGCTTTTGCGCTTGTCAAGAATTGCGCCGGCTTGATCGTGAGGTGCCTCTAGGAAGGCCAAACACATTCGTTGTGGTTTTTCAATCTTATCAGTACTCACCCACTCCCATGAATGCTCCTGTGTAAAATATACATCGAGCGAAGTAATGGGGAAGAAAAGCAAGACACACGAGGGCAAATATCCATGTGAAGAATGATAACCTAAAGTCAGGATGTCAAAGGTATGCAAAATCTTTGGGGATAAAGAAAAAGACCATCCTTACCATAACATTGAAGCTGTATAGTAGCCAGCCACACGGTATTGTCGTCCCCAGGCAAAGCCATCACCAGAAAGGTATTCGATCACCTGAAATATCATCAACATGTTGCCAACCTTCTCGAGATCTTTGAGAAATGGGAATTTTGTGTAGAAATTGAGGTATTCTGAGAAATTGCTGGTAGTGATGGAAGGGCTTGTTGTGAAAAGCCACATGAAGTCAATACGACGTTGTAGTGGTGGTTCCCGGTTTGTACATGAAGGAGTGATATCGGATGCAGTTTTACATGCATCACAACACGTACAAAATCTCATGAAGTTTTAGTAGGAAGGCGCTCAAAAATGGCGAAGCTCCGGTGCTCCGGTGGATGGGCGTGGTTTGCACAGTGGGGAGAGCAATTTGGCGCATCACTTACACCATATTTCGCTCAACTTAATAACAAGGAAAAACGATTCATATTCAAAAATTGTGTTAAATCTTCACACCTTCGAGAAGTAGATGACGTTACTGTGGTGCCGTTCAAGGGCCGATGCAGCAGGACGAGTAGGTTGTACGGATTTCGTAAAGACAAGAACATACTTAGAGATTGAGAAAGGGAAATTATCTTGAGATTTTATAGTTTCTGCAAAAGGACGCATACAAGGACAAAAAACAAGCGCATTTCCGCTATACGAGACTTTTTCTAAACTATTTATATTCCTTCTCTAAACAATAAATAAATAAAAAGCTACCAACTCCTATGCTATTTATTGAGCATTAACGATATCCGTAGCAAAAGCATGCTCGTATTATGAACGCTCTCCTCTGTCAAAATTAAGGATTACTTAGAGTACCGATCAGGCCTGAGGCGGTACTGTCTCTGACGTCATCGGACACCGTCGATGAAAGGGTCTATAAGCAACACCTTCACATCGAATTTGTGGGGTCACAGCGGCTGATAGTGAACTTGTGTGCCGAGTGATCAAAAATGAGAAAAAGGAAGCAAAGTGCACGGCAATGGCGCTCGAGCCATACACAGAGGCCAACTTATGGCGACTAATATCAACTTCTGGACGAGATACCTCGCGCAAATTCCCTAATACGCAACATGGATCACGACATGGCGGCGCGGGTCAGTGTAGAAAACTGGTTCGTACAACTCGCCCGGCTCCGCCCTTGCCCTATTTTAAGGAGTGAGAGAGGTAATGCTGGTAAAGATCTTCATCGACTTTCTCTGCTTCTCTCATTCATTTTTAGTCAACTCGGCGTCCACAACTCCATTATCATTTCAGACGCTGTGACCCCAAAAACTTGATCTGGGAGCGATCTCAACTGCACTCCTTAGCTATCGTAATCACAGCCTTTGAGGCAGCAATTCCAGATCATTCGCGGTGTAAAAACGGATGATGATGAAGATGTAGATGGCGAGTTGACCACTGATGGGAGAAAACGAAGAAAACGCCGCAAGCCTTCAAACAGGGACTTCCCCTCTTCTCCTTGGCAGTGAAGGAGAGGGTGTGCCGGACGAGTTATCCGAACTAGCTTGCATTTTTTGCTGGCACGAGCCAGCAAGAAATGCGGCTGCAATCGCATTTGCGCTAATACAAGCAGAGACATATCCATCAGTACAGACCAAGAAATGTGATAATCAAATGAGTTATGCAAGTTAACAACTAAAAAGAGGCAGCATTAATTTTGAAATGCGTTACAGTTACACGCAGTTGCGCAAGAACCCGCAATCAATAACGCGATCTTCACGGCTGACAAGTGGGCGTTGCCGAAAATTTCAGCCTGACCCATTTCGAAGGCGTACTACTGCTTTTTTGCGGCTTTCAAAGAGTTTTTTTACACCTCATATGTTCTATGTTCTTGACTAAGGCTACTGCATCCCTTCACCCCATTAGTATTGAAGTAAAAACCCTGAGCCCGTTGCTTTAAAGTCGAGAAGCGAAAGCAGATCAATGCATAAATGATCGCTATTCCGCGAGCATAGGATAAGCCCATTCTACAAGAAGGAATGGGATGTTGGCTGGAGATCTCGCCTGCATGGCTGTTCGGGCAACTTTGCCAACCGTAAATATCTTTCACCGAGAAAGATTCGACTGTTTCGTAACTATTGCGTGATCTCCGGTAAAATTTACGGTAAAACAAATCAAAGTGACGAATGAAGAAAAACCAGTGCGTTCCGAACAGTGCAGGGCTGCAAAACTTTCAATGAGAAACTTTTTAATGAAGAGAAGAAGTGAGACACGAATGAATTTTCCACGCACGTGGTGTAAAGTGAGAAAATTGAGAAAATCTGAACGGAAACTAAAACCTTGAGAATCGGAAAAGGTAACCCTTTTCTCAACGCATTCGACAATTCCTTTTCCATTTTATTTACTAAAAACATCAACATTCTAGAGTATTCATTTAGTATAAGTAAGAGCACCGCTCACAGAATGTGAAAAATGACGCTGATTGACAGTCTCACCTATCAACGACCGTCGCACTACCATAACTCCGCTGAAGGTGAATGAAACAAAAAAAATTTAAACTCCTGGATACGTCTCTCTACGGCGAGTCTGAGGATATATCATGTGTTGAGTTTTGTTAAGTAGGTCACCAGCTTTACCTTTTAAGCCGGGACAAAATTCAAATTTGATCTCAACGGTAGGACATCATTCCTTAGAACTCATTCTTATGTGCACAGCAGTTTACCCTACGCACACAGCACGTCCTTTTTTTTATACATTTTTATCCATGTTTCACAGTCGCTCCGGATGCGAACGAGCCCTTACAATTTTACGACATTTCCAAATTTTGCAAGCCTATTTCATCAAAGTCAGAGAGAGACGTATCTATAGGAGTTTAAATTTTTCCGTTTCATTCACTTTCAGCGGAGTTATGGTAGTGCGACGGTCTTTGATAGGTGGGACTGTCAATCAGCGTCATTTTTTCACATTCTGTGAGCGGTATTGTACAGTATCAGTTCTAAAGAGTCACCTTCAGAGAAACTGAATCTTTCATTGTAGAGCAGCTCGTCGCTGGCAACAACGGTGGAACTTTCGTGAGGAAAGTTCGCTGCAAAAAAGATGCATTAAAAAAAGCGTAATCGCTAATTAGTTTACGTGTATTTATGGCAGCTCCGGCTGAGTACAAACAATAATATTCAAATTCAAAAAAAACTTTCATCAAAATAGAAAAATTCGAAGTGCAAAGAACTCATCGCCAAATATATCTGAACAATTGTTTTCATGCATCCTGTTAAGTCTCTTTGTGACTTCTCAATTTCAATGAAAGATCCCTCCCCTTACGATGACTGTAGGACCCTGGTGGTATTGGCGGACCTACTAGGATGGATGGCATTCGAAGCCGCTTGATATCTATTGCGAGTTTCCCCACTTTCGCTTAAAGGCAAAGGTCGGGATTAGTTGACCAAACCAACCCTTTCGGTCATGCCTGTACTTGGTTACGCACCCGTAGAGATGTTCCCACACTCAAAACCCGAAACGGCGCAGTAATAAGGCCCCAGGGCATGTACTATGCGCTATCGCCGCCTGGCCCCGCTACGACCGCCCACCTTGGGTGGTGCATGGCTGGCATAACGTGTGAAATCAGCTAGGTTGATTGCCGTATCAACCGATAGAACGACTGATATCTTCAGAAAACTTGTTTGTACGTGCCTCTTCCCCAAGCCAGCCTCCTTCACTGCTAGTGGGAAAGAGGGTTTTGTTAACGGCCTTGTCGACGGTTTTTCTCAGTTTTTTCTCCACTGTCGTTCCACTTCGCATCTCTATACTCAGTTTCAATCGCCATAATACCCCCTTATTGAGCCCGACTTTTGCCTTTAAGATAGAATTTCAGCCCTCCTCCAGTTTTGAAAGTGTCACTGGTCCCAAATAAATAAAATAAATGAGCAGCATGGAGGTGGCCTTGGTGTCTTAAAGGCAGCGATTACGATAAAGAGGGATTACACCGGAGAAACATATGCACCAAACGAATCAGCTGCTTGGCTGCCAGGGAAGCAAGGTGTAGTGCTTTCACACGAAAGATGCGCTGGTTGCTGAGCAAGGAACTTCGAAAGCACTCCCATTCACAGAAGCGTCCCGCAGAAGGAATCCTACTAATCTCTTTGGTGATTTGGACGAATTGCGTCGCCAACAGCGGCGCAACTGAAGCAACTCAACTGGAGCATAGATTGGCATCGACGGCGCTTTCAACTGAAAACGGCGTTGCATGAACTCGTTCCACTTCCCATTTTTGCCCCCACTGAGGAAAGCTGTTACCTGTTCACATGAGTGAAAATCAACGGCCAAAAAAGGGTCCCGTTTTGGGTTTTCTTGACGGAATTTTTCTGCTTTTTTTGCCACTGGCGTACGCTATTTGAGCACCACCGCGTCACACTAAGCCCTTCTTGAATTTATCGTAATAGCTGCCTTTGAATCCAACCAGTAAAAAAATTATTGAAGGATACGCACGAGTGTTTGTAAAGCGTATTCTATTTGAAAATGCCCCGAAGACTTGCGTCAAGCCAATGGGTTGGCGTCCCATATGCGAAAGGAATTTCGGCGGGAGAGGAAATTACTGAGTGAGAAGGATTGACACTCTGTGTATATGCCTGTGGAAATCGGCGTTGAAGCCAAATACGCAGCGCATTCTAAAGAAAATGATCAAACCACTATATAATATTTTCTCAATTGTAATGAGTTTATAAGGTATCAGAAACCCAGGCAAGTCATTGTAGTGCGACGAACAGTAAATACTCCAACAAACACGTAAGATTGAAGACAAGATACATCAATATACAAAACAAACAATACACAAACCAAACGAAACAAAAAAGAAAAAAAAAACAAAAACAAAAACGAGAAATGAACGTACTGCTTAAAGAAATATTCAGGTACTGAAGTCCAACTCGTACCAAAATATGTGCATCAATTTTAGCGTTCGAAAACGATTTATAAGCAGTCGATATCGGAGTTTCAGCACGATGCCAACACGGATGGTATAACGACACTGAAAAAGACAAACGTACGCTGAATGGATGATGCACTTCTATTTCTTGGGATATCCCACGAGCTGAACCCGTATTTTATCCCGGATGATAAAATGTTACTGAATGTCGAGTAACCCTTCAACCCTGTCATGAAGAGGACTTTCAACGCGACCCTGTATGATTTGAAGCAACGTCCAGCACGGTCTACTTCTTTCAAAACTTATAGCACTCAGAATGGATGCACAGCGCCCCTATTCGGACGAACATACTAAGTGTCACAAGACTTACATAATATAAAGAAAGCTCACCTGGGAAAAGCTAAAAAGGGACGTTAAACTCCTCAAAGATGGTGTGGTTGGAGATTTCTTCGGGACCGCCCACTTGCCAGCCGTGATTGGCTACGGAGGCATTCGTGCTCGTTTTGGGACCACAGGGAGTATTTGAACTCTGTCCTTTAAAGTAATCAATGTGATCCTGCCTGTTACACTGGAATTGTTTCTTTTTTTTGTTGTTGTGATGTTGTTATGTTATGTATAGTGTTATGTAATTATGTTAGTGTTATGCAACTGGAGCGCATTTAGTGGGGCAAGTTCAGACAACTCGTCCAACGCGCGTCTTCCCACATCTCTGAGCGGCAGAAGGGTAAAGTCCCTGTTCGACGTTTTTCTTCGATTAATTCGTCACCATCGGTCAAATTCTCACCTATAATACATTCAGCGGTATTTATGCCCGGCCAATTCGTCCGGATTGTTGCTTCTAATGATCAGAATGTTGGCGATTCAAGACGATTGTTCACCCCCTGTCTTTTCGAGGCATGATGGCATAGCAGGCAGCCGTAATTAATTACTTCATCGAAGTAAGCCTAATTTCCTTTTTTCTTCCTGTGCTTTGAAAAACCTAGGATCTTATTTTTTGCCCGTAGCTGTCACGGCTCAGGCTGGCCCCATCTTGTCTCTGTTTCTCGTGATGCTACCAGTTTTGTTATGGAAGCACTGATTTAATCTTTGACTGATCCCGCATTCCATAGGCAAGGTCGGAACAAATGCGCATTCAAATGGCGTCAGCATTTCATATCGTAGTCAAAAATGCGTGGCGCATCCTGACTTGGTTTTGATCGGCATCAAGTGCATTTATTCTTCCGAACTGACGCCGTGCTAAGCGTAGGCCTGAAGCTGCCCCTGTCAGTAGTCATTGGTGCATATACTCAAGCTCTCTGAGTGAGAACAGTCTCAACTTTGTCAGGATGACTTCTTTCATCAAAGATCCCAAAACCATGGGAGGGTGCAGAATCTTTGGGTGTGGTTAGCAGAACAACCCCTTTATCGAGTGCAGACAGTGGAACCTTCAGAGAACATCCCGCTCACGGTGACGCCCAGACCTGATTTGTGAAAGGAATTGCGTAGCATCGGTGACGCATTGCACAATGGATGAATATTGATCGATTCTATATTCGGAGCATGTTACAGTAAAGTAATGAGAGGGCAGAAAAACGCAAACTGGAGCAAACTCGTTTCGAGAAATGACTGAAAGACGAGATTTTAAAATCAACGAGCATAAAGTTGTTTTGGACAAACCGGTTGCGGTTCAGATGTCACACTTTTCAGAACCCCATATATTAATATTATATTATGAAAAAGGAACAAGGTATGTCTGGGATTCAAAGAATAGTATCTAATTTGGGATGACTGCGCTTTAAACGGGTAGCGACCGAGGTAAGGATTTGCCACTGCAGTCTTCAATCTCGCTTCAAATTAGCTCCCATTATAACCTACTCCTGTGAATGGTCCACCCACTTTCCGTAGTAAGAGTTGCCTACGAATCCTGTGACCCCCAAAGATCTCCTCGTAGCTCGAAGATCCCGATCTTCTCACAAATCCCACCCATTATCTATATGAGTACGTGCTTCCTAAGGATTAGGTGATGGAGAGCGCTTCACTGAATCGTCCAAGCGCATAATTTGGAGACCCTGGAGGCGCTATGGAAGCACTTTAGCTATTGTCAACTCAATGAGGGTTTAACTTTCAACTAAAAATTTGTGTTGCATTCCAAACGGTCCCCCTAAGTTTTCTCCATCGGGTATTATTGATTTCTTGTATCTTTTTGATCGGATATAGAGAACCTGTCGGATTCGGCCAACCACTAGAGACCCTTAGTGGCATATCAGCCATGGACGGATGGTGTAGTTTCAAGTGGAGCTGCCTACACCGCGAGCGGTTTGAAAATCCCATTCTGGATCGTCAACGTAGTCTTTCATCCCTTCAGGGTCAGAGAATTGATACCAAGCTCGTCTAGGGGGTGGGAGGGGGTGGGCTAAAAACACTGAACTGTACATCGACTGGCCCCGCAAATCATTGTGAAAACCTAATCGCTTAGAAAGTGTCACTACGGAAAATTCAGGCTAAGGGTGAGTGGTGTGCGTGGCGCAACCCAGAAGACTCAAAATGCAGCTGAGGTTCATATTTTTCACATAGTCATCGGGGCGGAGAGTGTACGTGACAAGTGGCACGCTTACCACGCGAGCGGTCCGGGATCAAATCCTGGGTCGTGAGTCGCCCGGGCCAACCAAGCCTTCCATCCCTCCGGGGTCGGTTAATTGGTACCAGACTTGTCTGGGAGGATAAAAACACTGACTTGTACATCGGCTGGCCCCCGCATTGTATAGGCCACATCGCATTCAAACGCCACTACGAATGTACAAATGGAAGTAGAATGCGTGCCGCATCCCAAAAAGGGATTGATCAACGGCAAATGCTTTATCCTTTTATTTATCATCAAGCCATTCCCCAAACCTCCCACCGTCTATAAGCTTCAAGAAATAACCTTGGTTCAGTAGTCGAGTTTTATGTTTGGTAGCACTGAGAAGAAAAGCAGTGTATTAAATCGAAAAAAGTAGCTTCAAAAGATTTCCGGACAAATTTCCCATCACAACCTTTCATCGGCTGGGTAATGCCCGAACCTGCCGTCTTTAGCTCTTTTCCGCAGATTTCTCAAACGGCGATATCACATTACCACTAAATCTGCTAGTTCGTGCAGTAATGAACTGCCATTACCTTGAGCTGACCTTGCCCTTATAAGTGCCGACGTAGGCAAAAACTTGCTGATCGATCTTTCGGGGAAGCTTTTGTCAGTCAGACAGCGTATAATAACTCACCTAATAACGTCGCTCCGACGTACATGCTAAACAAGAAGGAACACGCCGATGAGAGACGTTTCTTACGTACACCAGGAAGAATGATGAGGAATGTAATCGACGGTACGACGAAAATTGAGAATAGCCCGACGATGTGAGTGTCTGGAAAGTGTAACGTTTTCTTTTAGCACATTGCGGTTGAACTTAAAGGCAACGATCACGATAATTTCTTTTTGATCAAGTATGACAGAGAAAATGCTTAGTGGTGGAGCTGTGGGGAAGGAACCACAAGAAACAGTAAGAAACCCCAGAAAATGAGCTTCTCCTCAATCCAGCTTCCCTTTGACTGAGGACGGTGGACGAGTTCGCGGCTTACGATAGCATGCGTTTGTGGAGAGCGGCTATTCAAATCAACTGATGCATCAAAGCTAAGGGACAACGGGGTACCCCCAGGAGGCCCGTCGCGCGGCAAGAAGGCAAAGTCAGCGGACGAGTCGCGCGCGTACTATAGGGATTTCGCGTCAAGTTAAATAGTGTCCCACTGCACGTCCTACATCGCACACCACGCGCTGCAACTCGTCCGCCGACTCTGCCTTCTTGCCGCGGCCTCTGGGGTACGCGCGGGGGAATACGAAAGTGAACCTCCCGGAAAACTTGACAATCAAAGTAAAAGCAAATTTGAGAGTGGAAAGCACCTTTCTCGGAGGGGCGAATGTGGGGAGGCGGAAGCTTCTTCCAACCTCAAAAGCTAGGTATATTTCCTCTGACGGTATTTTGCAGCAAAGACGTTAAACGTTGACTTCTTTGCTGCCTAGCTCCATCTCCACTAGTGCATAACCTCAGTGATACACCTAAATTGTTGCACTCCCTGTCTTTAAGCCGCTGTTTGATTACTCTACCAATACGGACCATCTTGAGTAGGAGCACATAGATCGCCATTGATGTAGCACGAGAACTGGCAAAATTACAAAACTGTTGAGAAAAATTCGCACAAAAAACTCCTCCAGCCGTTTTTCTATCTCTAATGAAACCTCTCTCTAAAAATACTACACCATTCCGCAAGATACAGTCTTCTCCGAATCTCAGATGCGACCCTTCGTTGGAAGTGACCGAAGAGAGGCTTCACATTACTTGCAATGATTCCTTTTGTTATAAAAAGACCTCTTGGTGGATAAAGTGGGAAATTGAAGGTTTAGTCTCTACATTCCTAGCAGCTTCTATTTTCTCGGTGGGTGGCAAGCAATACCGGACCTTGCACAGAGGTGTGTCTAATTTGGAATGTATAGAAGAATAGATTGAAGTACGCGAAAACGGCAAAAACTTGATTCAGGGGGTCCATCAAGAAGGTAGGAGACCGCATTCCTAACGTGAAGATTCAAAAAGAAAGTTCTGAGGAAAGGGTGAACAAAAAGTGTTCTCCAAGAGGATGCCGGTTTCCTACTCGCAAAAACTCGTCTGGTCGCGATTTCCCTCCCCTTGTTCTTCCGCTGCTTTAATTAGACTGAGTGTTAGAACTGTAGATAAGAATAGTGGGTTTGGTGCAGTGGCAACTGGCGCGTACACCACGATCTGAGATTGAGTAACGAATCAGAACTTGCTCAAGCCAATCGAACCTTACATCCCGTAGGAGCTGACCGATTGCTACCATCGTCTGCGTAATCAAAACCTTGGAAGACAAATGGGACACCGCTTGCCCCTGGAAAGATAGTTGTCCGACTGAATTGCTTTAAATGCTAATTTAGCACGTATTGTCAATGAAAAATGGTATGCGTGGCTCATCCCAAAGGGATCGGTCGAAGGCAGGCTTAATTTGCCTTTCAACCCCTACAGTCCTCTCAATAATCTATGATCACTGACTTAGAAATTGCACGGGCTCATCGTGTGTCCGAAGAGTTACAGAAAATGAGTGGACGTTGAGTGCACGGCGCACCACAAAACATCCAAATTGACATTGAAGTGTTTTATGAAATAGGAATTCGCGGGAAATCTAAAATAGCCCGAAAAGGGCATGCCGTCCTCAGAAAAAAATGTTCTTTCAGAGAGTTTTTTTCAATGGGGTATTCTGCCCTGTAAGTAAAGTACGAAATAGCCTTACGTGACTAAGTAGAGTAAACGTTTCATGAAAAAACAAAAAACAATTCAAAAAAATCAAGAAGAAAAACAAGATAACAATCACAATCAATTACAATTATGATCCATTCCTTCAGGGTAAGCCATATATTCGATTTGGCTATAAAGTTGTGGAAGCATTTGAATGCATTGTTGGCTTTTGCGCGTGTGGTATTGTTAGCCATTGTTTCTAACCAATCGAATCGGTGCGCCATTAAATAACCCGAGAGATAGCAAATGGATGACCCGGGCAGATTTCGATCCTGCCATTTGCGCCACACGATAGCTTCGCCCATAACCACTGCACCACTCTTTTCTCAAAACCTGGCTAAATGTGCCATAAGAAGAATTTAGGATTGTGATGACTCACCAAGCATTACCGGTGTACGATTCTCTCCATAAAATGTCGGCGCTCCATGTTCTCGGAATGACGTAAACCATCCGAGCATATCGCATATGCTGGAAGGAAAAATCGTGCGAAAAAAATCGATACCGTGCACAGGCGTGACCAACCGATAACTGGCAAATTAAACAGATCAGACGAAAATTGACGATTTAACGGATCAGAGATTTTGTTCACATGGCGATCGGGGCTACAATGAAATGCACGGCGCGTTTTGTGGTCCAATGAGCTTCAATTCGCTCGCAACAAAAATCACAGGTCAATAGACGTGTCACGAATGATACGAGAAATTAGCATGGTGTCACAAATAGGCCGGATTTTAGCGCTTGACCTGATTCCATTCGATTTCAGTGAACACGTGGGATCACCAGGGACAGCTACCGGTTCGAAAGTGCAACATAGGGTTTATGGTGTGAAAGTGCAAACTGAAAACGAACTCGTCGAATAGGTGGGGGCTTAAGCTAGAACACGTTCTTTGGGGCGAAGCTGTTTAACCCTGAACTACTAGGGAACTAAACAGACAGCTGATTGGTGCTGACTGGTTGCATCTAGGGAAGAAAGAAAAGTGGAGGACAATGGAGAATGACTGTGGAATCGATTTAGGAGAAGGAATTGGCTAAAGAAAGGCCAATTACTCAGCCACAAACCTTCAACGACGATGAACGATCACTTTGGTTGCGACATGTAAGCACCTTCAGCAGGAATCGTTAAGATGATTGAATGGTCATTACCCGACGGCAATTATTAGCAAATCTCATCATGTCCCCATTTTCACTAAAAACAACTACAGAGCCAAGCAGGTCAGCCCTATGCGAAAAACGGGTCATATTGGTGCCATGGGCTAATTGTGAGCTATGCAGGGAGCACGCCAACTGGCCGTGAACTCAGCGCGTTACACCACCAGCGCTCGCGCGTCCTGTGTAAGAATGTGTACAGCGAACATCACAATTTAATCACAGGAAAAACACCTTTGTTTCTGAAATGAAGTGAAGCCTCAGGCTTAGAAGCGCTAAATGGAACGTAAACGAATGATGTTCTTCACACACACACACCCACACCCACACCAATAGGGCGGAATCCGGTTGCAATGGTAGAAATAGGAGGCGGCATTAACGATCGGCCTGAACGATCGTTAAGGACATTAAGCACTGGCGAAACGGCAGAAAAACTCGAATCACGAAGTTTTAAAAAAGGATTTGATTGGAAACAAGGAATGCACTGCTAGCGACAAAACCTGTTTTCAATTCTGAGCGCTGATCGGCTATTTTTACAGACGTGACGACATCGAACTAAAGTCATTACAGCGATCAGAGATAATATTAGTGGAAGGTCTGAAAAAACGAAAATAGCAAGAACTTTGAAGACGCGAAATTACACGACAAAGCCCCCCTCGAAATTTAAGTTAAAATGTGCATGAAAGTGATGAAGAAAGAGCGAAAAAAACGAGGGAAAACGAACCAAGAGCGATCAATGGGCCGCGATTTCCGCATGACGCGGCTCTCATCAGTTTGCTGCTCTTTCAACGCGTAACCGTCTCTCGCTGGAACGCGGACACTGTGCGAGAGAAGGTTGGCCGTGGTGGTCCGTCACGCGCCATAGTGCTGGGAGAGGCCATGCTGGATCGAATGGGCGGATCTTCGAAAGCGAATAGCGTGTCGGTTCGCACCCTTAGTAGGTCTAAATCTTTCTCCAGTAGGTATGTTTCCTTCGGCGTCCCTCGTCCTTATGGTGGAGTTAGTGCATTTACTAAATTACACTTAGTACACTCCCCCGTTGTGCAGTTAGTGTAGGGGTTCGCGTGGGTTAATTAATGTATAAAAAATAAAAATAACAACAAATGTGTCATTCGGTTTGTGGGAAGGTTTGCGGCGCGTCTGGGCGGAGCCAGGATCCGGCCAAATGGGGGTTGTGGGGCGGGGTGTTAGGGGGGGGGGGGGGGGGGGTGTATGTCCGTAAAGCCAGAAACCAGAGCACATACACGAATTATTTTCTGGGTATCGAAGGTTGTTAGGGATACAGAATGTGTTAACCGTATCCTTCCAGTTCTACTTGCAGTTTTGGAAGGGTTGAATTGGGATCAAAGGCAGCGTATGAGATTATTTGATGGTTATCAAATCGAAGCAAATACGCCAGTTGGTGCGATAGTGAAGAAAACACCTGGATAGACCATCAATAATCTAGAACCTAGAATCTCATCCACAGTTTATTGGACGGTTTAGGGACCCGCGTTAGCTGGAGTGAACTCGGATGCAGGCGATAGGTTGAATATGCGACTTCTTTTGATGGCAATGGCAGTTCCGGATTGAGAAAGATAAGCTGGGGGAAATATCAAAATTGATGATCACGTGCCTGGAAGCGGAGCGGTTTCGTAGGGAAGGGGCCGTTCGGTTTAGAGTTAACTGTCTAGCGCAGCCATGCCTTTGCGCAAAGCGCATCTTGATTCTTTGAGTAGTACCCCTTTCCTGGGATACGCAAGAATTTTGATCCGAGTCATTGTCCATATGAGGTCAAAGTTGGGTTAACCCTGCACGCAGGCGGCTCAGACGAAGGATTGGATATTGTCCCAGATAAAGTAATCGACAGATGCGACTGTTTTTCTGTAAACGAAACAAAACTACGAGAAATACTCTGTGGGACAGATTTGCATGCACCGGGGCGAAGGCAAGGGGGAGCGCAGGAACAAAGTGTGATCTACGTGGGGAGCGGAGTGGTATGCCCGGTGGACCCCCGGTTACCGTGGAGTACTTTGCTATATCACATAGTAGCGGGGTCTTGGGGGGTCTAAATCGCTTCTGTATCTCGAGTTAGTTTGTTGGAGAAGAAAACAGTCGGCTCATTGCAGAGATCGTTGGCCTTGTAAGATTTCTTCTGGTAAAGAGAACTGGACCAAATAAGATGTCGTCAGTGAGAGCGTTAATGGATTCTTGGTGAAGAACGTGAACTGATGGGTTCAGGTGGTTACTGGTGGATGGGGAAGTGGTGTAGTGACAAGTGGCGCGCTCACCACGCGAGCGGTCCGGGGATCAAATCCTGGGTCGTGAGTCGCCCGGGCCAACCAAGCCTTCCATCCCTCCGGGGTCGGTTAATTGGTACCAGACTTGTCTGGGAGGATAAAAACACTGACTTGAACATCGGCTGGCCCCCGCAAGTCATTGTATAGGCCACATCGCATTCAAACGCCACTGCGAATGTACAAATGGAAGTAGAATGCGTGCCGCATCCCAAAAAGGGATTGATCAACGGCAAATGCTTTATCCTATCTTATCCTTCACTGGTTTGGATCCAAAGACACGAGCCACGATTAGCTTAGATGGAATCAGCCATTATATGTAATGGATGAAATACACCTCTGCGTTTCTATTATTATTTGGGCATACCTAATTTTTGCTATTCCAAAGTTGCTGTGCATTTTTGGAAATGCCGCTATTACCAATAGTTTCCCCATAACGAAAAACCTTGATACTCGATTTCTGGGAGAAATCTCGATTCAGAATTATTAAAATATCTTCTTTAGAACGTATTTTCACCGTTCGCAAATATGACTACACATCGCTTGTCGAGAGATTTATAGGTGTGTTCCGTAATTATGTGAATCCTTTGGCAGCTTTTTCATTATCAATTTTTTGCTTTGATTATGAAGTGCTTGTTCATTATCAGCAGCTATGTTATCACAAATATAAATTGCCTATGGAGCGGGATTTTGGTCGCGTCTTTCCAGGAGTTATTGATCAAAGAAAATCGGAAGTCGGCTTTGAGGTCATGTCAGTTAGCGTAAAATTTCTTCCTGAAGAATAATGGTATAAGTAGTCTAGGTTATCTTTCGCTGGTATACGAGGGTAGGGCTTCACGGTAGGAGCTGGAAGAACTGCTAGCCCAAAGGTCTGCAATTTTTTATGAAGATTTTCCGAAAGGATGGGGTCGAATGACCTCAGGAAATCGACTGTGTTTTGCTTGACCTTAGGTAGGGAACGGCATAGCATCATGGGCTGTGCAATGTACTTCTCTTTAGCTCACTGACTTTGTATTCTTTGGTTGGTTCCCAGCGCCAAGTCCCTTTTGTGGTCCACTAGAATCCAGAGTGCCAGACATAGAGGTCCACAGACGGTGTGGTTTGGGGCTTTTGTTGTCAGAACTCTCCAATCTTTCAAGCTACTCTGCTGCTCCTTGTGAATTTGCTAGCACACTCCACCCACTTCACAACACTGGTGAGTACGCAGGATGATCACTGAAAAGAACTCTGGGAAGCAGGAGCGAACATGGCGATTTCATATCGTGTTTGGGGGAAGATTTCAGAAATTGAAATTTGAGCCTCGGAAGGAAACGTGTGAACGGGCCGACTGATTGCTTAGGTAGGACATTGTGGTCACTACTTGGCAAAACATGTTTCACGCCTTCAAGATTTTTCATGGAATTTATAGCAATAAATTCAAAGTGATTCACTAATTATGGGCCAACCTAATATTTATAACAAAAAAACGTCAAAATTTTCAATAATGTGTGGTCCTCCTTAATCATAAATAATACGTTTTGGAATGCTGGTAACCAAATTAGCTATTACAGTAGGATCGAAATTTGTCTGCGCCGATGATCGACGTTTTCAGCTCTTCGGCTGTTCCATTTTGCTTTACTTTGCTGTGGAACTTTATAACAATTAAGGCCCAATGATTCTCTATTGGAATCTGATTCAGATAACATGGTGGCCACCAGATAACTGCCACATTTTTTCCTGCAATTCCATCTGGCGTGGAAGGACCGGCATGGACAGCCGCGTTATCGTGCGTAAAAATCAAGGATAGAGGGGATTGTTGTCGAAAAAATGGTAAAACTCGCTTCAAAAGAACTTCACGATACCCTATGGAATCTTTGTGAAAGGAAACAAAAGCGAGCTCTAGCCGCTCAGTCGTTCAAAGGTGCCTCAAACCATAAGGGATTCTCCGCCGAAATTACGTTACATTGAAACCATCTGCGATTTTCACGGAACCCTCCTGTACCCTCTTTTTCTATCAGATCCACCTAGAATAAACTTTTTCACGTCGATCTCAGATC